ACACTTCGTCTCCGAGGCGACAGTGGTTGGTTGGAGGGAGTAGGACTGACGGTCGGACAACTTGGAGACTGAGAGAGGAGTGTGTGTTGTCAAGGCATGCAAAACGACGAAAGTAAGCCGGCAACCGAATCTGGCGACACTCGGTTTCCGTGCCAACGTCGACGCCGACGTCAACCGCGTCGTCTGCCTCAGCCTCAACTTTGCTGCGGCCCGAAGTACAGTCCGTTGACGCTGTCGCGTCTGCCCTCGGCTCTGGTGCAGGGCAGTCCAATCGGGTTGCGGGGCGACGGCGACGGCGACGGCGAGGATGATCATGGCGAATTGTGGCGTAGAAGCGGTCAGCTCTTCGAGACCGCCTCCATCTGGACGCCCGAGGTGGACAATCCCGAGGCTGCGGTGCGTCTGTTGGAGACGCCCGAGGCGGAAAAGGCGACGGCGAAGGCGACGGCGACGGCGACGGCGGGTCTGGTTGTGCAGACGGAGACGGGCGTCTGCTTTCTAGTCCACGACCCCGGCGTCGTTGAGCGTCTCTTTTTACGACCACTTCGGCGAGCTCTCATCACCGGCATCCGCCAATGGCTACGCTTCGGCGACGAGGCCGTGCTCCAGCGCGTCCGTCTTCGCTACGCCCGTCTCAAGCTCAGCTGGCAGGCGGCGGCATCGTCGACGTCGCCGTCGCCGTCGCCGTTGCCGTTGCCGTCGGCAATAGCCTCGCCGTTGGCCTATCATTTGGGCGCCAGTCTGCTCGACTACATCGTGGCGGGCGAGACGAGTCGACCGCGGCAGGCCGAGTTGCGCGAATGTCTACTCGTCCTGCAGGCGACTCGAGCTCAGGCGCCCGGTGACCTCTTCGACGTGCATCTGCGCTTCTGCCTGGCACGCAGCAACTGGCGAGGACAAACGAGCCAAGCAGACACCGTGGACGGCGCGACTCGCCGATCGTCCGGCGCCTCCATGCTGGAGGGCGACAACGACGGCGACGTCAACGGCGACGCCAACGTCGACGTCGAAGTCGACGAGTTCGGAGCGTTGGGGCCGCGTCTCAATCTTCTGCCGACCGGCGAGTCACTCTCGGCAACCGACACGCCCGACAGACATGCCGACGTCGAGGAGGAGGAGGACGAAGACGACGGCGTCGACGTTGGCGTCGGCGTCGGCGTCGGCGTCGGCGTCGGCGTCAGTGTCGGTGGCGATGAGTCGGCCGGCCTTCAAGATGCAGCGATCTACCCGAGACTCGAGCCTCCCGCCCCCTCAGGCCAGGCCTCAGCCTCGAAGCCGATGAATGTGAGTCGGTTGGTTCTGCGATCCGTTTGTGCACTTTTACGGCACCTTTGTGTGTTTGTATAGGCGAAGAGGTCACGAAAATTATCTCTTAGCAACTTGACTGTGCTGTCAGCCGGGACTGGATGCATGGATCGGATAAAGTGTGCTCGTCGTTATAAACTTAATAGAAATATGATACTATTATAATATGATATAATTAAGTGTACAATGTATATATATATATAGTATAAGTAGGCATAAGTAGTATAAATAATTGAAATTGAAATTGTTGGGCGATTACACACATTCTTAGCTCACTAGAAAGACTTGCTGTCCGTCAGAGTTTGGAGGCTTCAAGTACTTCGATGAACCGATAAGGCGACCAAGCAGAAAGAAATTCTAAATTGCTCCAGTTCTGCTCATTCAAGAGAAGCGAAAAGCCTCCTCCTCCTCTTCTTCTTCTTCTTCTTCTTCTACTTCCTCTTCCTCATCCTCAACCTCAGCATCATCATCATCATCATCATCAGTGATAAACTATCCCTATACGTCATTGTTCACGCATTGGACGCCTCAATTTTCCCATAAAAGCGGATTCCGATTCTTCTTCCCTCCTGACCGTCCCGAATCCCGCCAGCCTCTGCCGCTTTTGCCTCAACCCCGCATCTTCGTCGGCCTCATTCTCGTCCGCAATTCGTAGTCGGACTGCGTTTCTATGCCTCGACTGGCCCGTCGCCATGGTGACACACTTGCACATGTGCGTAACCCTGTGACCCTTGGCAATCCAGCTTTCAGCTGTTCGCGTAATCCCCTCGCGTCTCTTCACTTTACCCACATTCCTCCCGTCCATCCAACTATCTATTCACCCATTAGACCCATTCTTGGCTATTCCTTTGTACAACTATCAATCGACGCGTATCCCATTATTTCTCCACCTGCCCACCCACCACTTCTTGCGGATGACTTGCCAAGACTCAATTTTGGGGAGACTCGATGCTAACTCCCGTCCTTAGTGTGACCCTTTCCTGCACAGGTCAACTTGCCTGTATCAGTCGGGAACGGACAGAGTGAAAGACTAGAACAGAGAATAGAGGGACCCATCTTCATCAGCAGCAGTGGCAAAATCAGCAACAGCAAGGCAAATGCAGGCATCATAAGAAGTGAGGCTGACTTCTGCTTGCCTCTTTGCAGCTCAAAATGACTGCGGTCCGTCTATGCAATAATTGCATGTAATAAGAGGTTTAGTCAACCTGGAGTGGCTAGGGTAGTGTACGAGCTGATATTTTTATTTAGTCTGATGAAGTGAATGGAATACCATTGAATTTCATTGGGGAAAATTCCACTAAAGGCTTGCAAACCACGTCAATCTGCCAAAGGTTACTGTGAGTAAACATGCCTACTCACAATGAATATAAGTAGCATCATTATTATAATGACAAATACCGACTTGCTTTAACTACGATACCGGCAAGAAATGCTCGATTTGGTACACGTCATTTTAGGAGGCTTTTGGCAATCAGAAAGCGTGGATGGATGCTTCAATTTTGCGTGGAAGCTAAAATAATAAAATGTTGGGTTTGATACCCTAAGAGCGGCGTTTCCTCTCAAATGTTTGATAATTGATAATACTGACTGGATATAATTAATATTAAATTATAGCATATTATATATTATATATATATATATATATATTCCATTATAATTCATATTTTGCTAAGTAGTACTTGCTCGGCTAGTGAAAGTATAGTTGTTGATAAGTGACCGAAAATGCTAAAAAAATTTGGATTTCATGGAGTCTGTTATTTAATAATTGTTGAGCTTACTTCCATTTCGAGTGAAAGTATTGGGGG